GATTAGGTCCGGTTCACGAGGAACTCTTCCTCTGAATGCCACTCCCGTCTTTTCTCTCTAGCATCTCCCTGCTTTTCACTTTCCCTGTGGCGAGCCGCCGAAACCGTTGCCTGTATTCGGGCATTTTCGCGTTTCCTCGCCCCCGGTTAGGGCCCCACGCGTCTAGTCCCTGCAAAATATACCGCTATGAAACGATATTTTATACAAAGGTGGTGCAATTATCGTTGGAAAAAGTATGCCTACGTTAGTTGGTTGCGGTTTCAATAAATGTTTTAATATTTAATCACTGAACCATTATAAACAGTATATTATGACACAATACAATATAAACAATATGGAAGCTGGCCAGTACAAGACTGAGCATTTTGGACGAATCCTCCGATGGTTTCAGAATAACTTCCTACTGCTTACGCTGATTACATCTGTAACCTCGCGCTCACATTGATAATAAACGCTTACACACTTATTTCTAGTCCATATTTAAAATCCAAAACATAGTTGTACTTCAAAAATTAAAACAAACCATCTTGTAGTACCACTTTTTTTAATAGTATAGTAGTAGATGCCAGTGAATGTTCCTTCAGGTCGTTCATCATACATATGTTTTTTTTGACAGATATTATTGAAGCATCAAAAGTATGCTAAAGGTACCATAAGAAATACACAAAAAAATTGTAGATCGTTCAACTATACCCTTTTTTACATGTTTTGTTTAAAAATTTTTAATTTAACATGCATCCTAATAGAAAAATCACTTAAAATTGAATTCAGAAGATCTGTACTAAAATAATATGTACTAAGCTTTTTTAAATAATGTGGAGTTCTTATTGCATATGAATTTTTTTCTACTGTACGTCTTGCATTATCTAGGTTGAAGACAAAAGGGTAGACTTTATTGATTTATTAAACAAACTCTTATGAAGAGAGAAAGTTAATTCTTATCTTTCCATGGTAAAAAGGGCTACGAACAATGTTAACGGTTCAAATAATATTTAATAATAAACAAAAATATTCGTCGTTTTTTTATTAATATTAAAAATATCATAAAATTTTCTTCTACATATTTTACAATGCAACTCATAAACTCACTGCAATCTTAAGAAAAAAAAAATCAGCATGCCGTAGCACTACCTTAGGGATGTTGTGGAAACATGCAAACAAATTATGTGGACAAAGAAAGTAATACGGGACAGGTAAAAAATGGCTGAAGAGGGCTAGAAAAAATATTAGATTGTTACTCAGACAATGTGCTTATCAAGTGTGGGGATCTGAGAGTGGCTCCTTACAAAAAGTAAGGAGAGCAAAAAAGAGGGGGTGCAGAAAGTGATCGAATTACAAATGATATGATAACCGATGTAATTTTATCTAATTAAGAGATGTGGCTCAAAAGTGAGCAAGCTCTCTAAAATTACAAAGGGGGTTATTAGATAATCTCGTAATTAGGTTATAAAGTTGTGTGGGGTGCTAAACGTGGTAAAGGAACGGTTAAGGTAGGACTACACAAAAATTTAACTAAATAAATACTACGAAAAAGCTGGTAGAATTGTACCGTGTATGTGTGGAATAACCCTCTTAAATTACTATTTAATATCAGAAACTATATATATACTTACTTACGCCTAAGACAACAAAAAAGAGTCAATCATAAATTAGTAGTCAGCAATAAACTGCGTCCATCAAAGTTATGTACGTACGTAGTTGTAAGATATCTTTCTTAATAGTTATTTAAGCCTTTTTTGTAAAAATATTCAAATATTTTCATATTCTACTGATGCAATGCTTGTTCTAGTTAATAGCCTTATATACGTATAGCACTTACTATTTTTGTGCTTTTCTGTAGGTATATTGATAGAGGAACAAGTAACAAATGCTTAAATATCTGAGCTAATAATTAACTAAGTTATGGCTAGAAATGCGCCAGTCACTACAAACATGACCGTATCTTAGTAAATATACCAGTTAAAAGATCTAGTGCTTTAATATTTTTATCTTATTTATAACGCAGTATTCTAAGACTCGTAAGTAAAATTGTTGATCTACATAATAAATAGTCTGTTCACCTTATTTTTGAGGTTTCAAAATGTATTAAATTCTGGTTTACAAAATTTAATTATAGTCATACTTCAATTGTAGTTGCAACTAGCAGCTTTTTTATTAATATGAACAATTTTATGAATCATATTATTTTGTAGAGACTTTTGTACAAATTTTAACAACTTTAGTCTATGTTTATATGATTGATATTCAAAAATTAGCAGTATACGTGAAATTTCTGTACCTAATGATATTATCACTAGATGTTCAAGTTGTGTCTTAAATTTTCGTTTGATTAGATAATTTTATATCTAAATAATAAAAATTTATGTATTAGAACTTTCTCATTTGTATTTCAATAAAAGTATCATACAGCTCTTAAAACATTGAAAAAAAGTCGTTCCATGTACTTACCTCAGATTTTCCTTTCGATACACAGTTTCCAACATTACTCGGTTCAAGATGAAGACTATCCCTCTGCAATAAGAAGTATAAATGGTTTAGCTTTGAAGCAAATAGTTTTAACTGTTAAAAGAATTTTACATTTGAATTAACAGAATCAAGGTGAAAACAATTTAGTAGTTGAGCTTTGCAGCTTTAATAATGCTTATTAGCAACTAATCAATCATTTTCCTAGGATACGTGCATCTTATCTACATTTTTTATAAACTTCACATTTTTGATAATGTTACGCTTTATTTTACCATTATTATTAGATGCCATACTTTAAACATATTTTAGCCGACTTTTCTTTTGATTAAAAAAAAGGAAAAATGCACAAAATAATAAAGAGTAGAAAGATGGAGAGCGTAAAAGTTAGTGAAGTTAAAAATTTTTACTACTAGGTAGACCCAAATAACAAGAGATACTAGAACCCTACTTGTATCTTTACACTTGACCTTCATAGCTAAGCATAGATCTGTACACAAAACATTTACTATTAGCTTTATAAAGACAATATTAGAGGCTTTGACAGTAAATATATGACAATAAATTTATAAGAACTCCTAAGTAGCATCATGATCGATATTGGATAAAGAAAATTTATGAAAAATTAACTTGCTTGATTAATTTAACAAATTATAAAACAAACACAAAGTAGACTAAAATTAAAAGTTGCATGCTGTGTTTAGAATTTTTTTTCCTAATAAAACTAATACCCAATCCCAAGTATTTCTGTTAATAATCACAGTAAAAAACCAGTGGACAGTGGGTGCTTGGGTATCCAAGGAAGAAATTATATTTCCTTATAATTATATGGCAGACAATACGAATAAAAATATAAATATACCTTCCATAAAACAATACTGTGTACAAAAGTAGTACAATTATCGTTGGGAAAAATCGTAAAAAAAAAAGAAACAAAATTAAAAATGAAAGCCGTACTTAGGGTGGTGCCATCACGTTGTGTGGTGTGGTGTAGGAGGACTAGGAGTGCGTCAAGAAGGGCGGGGCGGAGGGGAAGAATTAAGCAAAATCCGCTTCCATTACACTTTTTTTCAAGGTCACTAATCTGAAATCGTTGATTTACTCTGTAGGGCAGAACGTGCCTATAGGAGTATAACTTCCAAATTTTTTTTAATATGTAAGAATTATATTATGACTGAGTAGATACTTACTCAGCAGTCCGCTTTCTCCTCCCCACTCTGCCCAAGTACACATTTAAAAAAAATAATACTTACTCTTATGATTTAAGAACAAAACGATAACATTTTTGACTGCATTAAAACTTTAATAGGTTCAAATCAACAAAAAGTTATCAATCATGCGATAAGTGTGTTTATTATTCACTGATCATAAAATACATACCACTGACTCTTTATGATGAAAATAACAATTTTTCAAATATTGCGTGTAAATACGCCATACCACTGTGTTACGGCTCGTTATTCTGGTAATCTGGACATACTAACACTTTGCCCCGCCTGTTTCATGCTGTGGCACAGATGCGCCTATCCACTTAAGGCCACCTTCTCACTTAGAAACACCTTCCTTTATGTTTACCAGCAGTAATAGTTACTTTGACTGACTGTTACTGCTGCAATTATTGGTCCATTTAATCTACGAAATCCTATCCTACATTTAACATAATGTTAACTAAATAAGACATGATAGAAAAAGTGTCAAACGAATGATGCCTCTTAAATGAAAACTAGTGACAATCGTGATTTTTTTTATAAAGATATATTTACTTCTATAGGCAAGTTATGCGTGAGAGTAAATCAACGATTTCAGATTAGTAATCTTCGGAAAAAAAGTTTAAGTGTGACTTGTTTTTAATGTAGATTTTCATTTACTGTCTAATAACTAATTTAGTATGGTTATTTATTTAATTGTAACATCGGTGAACTGAAATTACAAATAATTTTTTCCCCACTTATTCCTTGAGAATTTTTCATGTTGTTTTAAAAGTGTTTTAAGCNAAAATAAGTTATCAACTGTATTATATAATAAAGTAATCGATTTTCCTATGTCAGGCCTGCTTAAAGTTGAGTGAGTAATGGACTCGCTCAGTATGCATGAGGTCGGGGGTTCAAATCTCTTTGGAAAGTTTTTTTTTTTTTTTAATTTTAAAACAAAAAAAAGTAAAATTTAAAATGTGTGGTGTGGTGTGGTAGAATAATATGGAATAGTGTAGTGCCATGATGTTGGATGTTGGGTGGTGTAGGGGGACCGAAGTACGTCAAGAGGGGTGGAGAAAAGGGGGAGAATCAAGTGAAATCCACTTCCGTTACACTTTTTCTCAAGGTCACCTATCTGAAATTGTTGATTTACTTCATAGGACAGAACGCGCCTATAAAAGTATAACTTTAAAAATATTTGACACAAACCTTAGTTTTTTGTAGGTATGTCAATAAGCTATTAGACTAATAAAAACGTGAATCTGATTAATGGCCGGCTCAAACATGATGAAATATACTCACGTAAGGTTAAAAAACATCGTCTAGAAGTTATTCCCAATTTAGAAGTCATAATATATGTTAAAGTGACACTGTTATCAGCAAAAATTGCTAGAAACAGACGTATAATTAATTTCCTGCACAGTTATTACTATGAAAAGTGCTTGATTTTATAAGACATAGGTAACAAAAATCTTGTAATTTTGCATATTTTAAGGTTTGATTAGGTAAGTTATATTTTTAAAAAACGATTCAAAATAATAGCTTAAATAAAAAAAACTTACATGTATTATTTATTTTTCGAAAAAAGCTTTGGCATGTTTGAATGAATATTAATTCGTCAACATGAATTTTTATTAATTTATAAGAAAGCATCTTAAAAGTTTCATAATATTTAATCCTCTTGCAATCAAGAAAGAGAGTTTATGTAGGCCTCATTTTCTTTATAAAGACTTGAAGGTCATGATACTACGATGGCTTCGTTAATTTATCGGTTTTGAGACTGTTCAAATGGTGTTAAAGGAATGTGTCAATTTTAGTGTTATGATTTTTTAAATTATCTCGAAAATTGAACAACATAATTTATTTACAGTTTTTATACCTGTATAACTGCTTCGTCTACACAAATTTAAAAACAAAGAAGGTTGGTCTAGCATATAAAACAGTTAAGAAAAAAACTAATTTCCATAATTGCACTTATTCTTCATTGATAAACATTAAAGCACTGAATTTTTACTGTCAGGTTTAATACCTTCATTCTGTAATTTGATCCACCATAATGTATAAAAGTTTTTTAATGAAGTATACGCTTATTTAAAATCAATAATGGCATTTGCAAAAGTACATGACGCGTAAGTTTGTTAGTGTCTTAGTCATTTATACGATTATGAGTATTTTAAATATTTTTAATAATGGTTTATCTTTTTTTAACGAATGGTGTTCCACTATCTTGCTTCCCACTTCTTTCATTACATTTTTTATATTTTATACTTTTTTATTTCTAGCTAGTTGCTAATGAAACATAACTACTGCCTGATTATCTATACAATTATTTGTTTTGGGTTTATGCTCTACAAGATTATTATTAATGTCTTTAATTTCTCTATCATGAATGTTTGTTTTGAGATTTACTAAAGCACTGTTTTCTTGATATCGTTAAGCATGTCCTTACCTAAGCTACTACCAGAAAGTGATCAGAATCGCAATCAACACCCCTATAGATCCTAACATCAAGAGTGTTAGAGCTATGCCTCTTATCGGTTAATACATCATCAATTTGATTCTGAGTCACACCATATGAAGACTTCCAAGTTGCTTTGTTAATATCACGATGCTAAAATTCAGTGCTCATTACAATAAGATCTAATAATACCATGAATTCAATGACTCTTGTACCATTAACATAACTTAACTGGGGGAGGCTCTTTTTCCTGATAGTTGTTCTAAAAATATCTTGCTAGCCAATTTTTGCGTTAAGATCTCACAGTAAAATTTTAATACCAAACGATGAACTTGCGTTATATATTCCTTTTTATTCTGAGTAGAAAGCTACACGAAAATCTGCCATTAACCACTTTAAATTCTTTGATCTCTGTTGACAGTTCTCTTGTAACAAAAAAGCCCGTTCCCAAATTACTTTTTACGTTTCTACCGTGCTTAAAAATGTATTTATTTACTTCTATTTGTTCATCTCCTGGAAATATAGCCTATTAAATAGCCACGATACCGATTTCGTATTCATCCAGAGTCTCATTAACTGCTTTAATCAAGCATATTTCAAAAAGTGTCCTTATATTCTACGTCAAAAATTTGTAATGTTTTTCTCGGTTTTTGCTATTGGACTGGTTGCTTATATTTTGGTTTTGGTCATGATACTGAGTTTGCGTTTTAGTTTTGATTTTGAGGTTGGATGTCCATAAGTACAACATTCATCGCCCACAAGAGATCCTGCTTCAACCCCAGAGTGGGTACACCGTTCTACGCGTATTGCCTACGCACCTCCTTAATCTCTTAGTGCATTGGTTTTTGCGGCCTACAACAAGAATCATTATTTGGTGTTCTCCTGCCACTAGATTGGCTTCCCTTTTGTGTCTCTAGTGCTCCTATCCAGACAATAGCTTTTTTGTTGATAATGACAGTGTTAGATCCCATGCCCGAGTCATGCAACACATCTTTTTTAGGTAGTGTCTTCAAAACCAGACTCACTAGCACCAGCTTTATACGGAAAATGGACTCAACTATTTGCTTATAAGAAAAGCATTAGATTCTTAAAGTTCAAGAAAGGGGTTTAAATGTGTACAATTTTCATAATACTCTGTGCTTATTGTACCAACACAGGGTGATGTCATCACCCTCATGCCTACCTTCGTTGGCTAACCACGACTGCATTCGTAGCTAGCTGTTTACATAATATGCTTACATACTTGATGAATTTAGGTATGCTGGTTATTTTTTTCATTCAGATTTTACCAAAAAAAAGCCCAAAAAAAGAGTAATAAAGAATAAAAAATAAATTTTTTATCATTACAGAAATTTTTAACAGCTCAACTGATTTATAAAACTCTACATTTTTATATG